TACATCACTGGGGCGTGGCCTACTGGGAGGAGGCCAGGTTGCTGGGGGCGTGGCCTAGCAGCAGGAGGTGAGGTCACTGGGGCGTGGCCTAAAGAGGTAAGGTCACTGTGGGCGTGGCCTAGCAGGAGGTGAGGTCACTGTGGGCGTGGCCTAGCGAGAGTAGGTGAAGTCACTGGGAGCGGGGCCCACACGGTGTAACAGCACCCCGCTGCAGCTCCTCTGCCATTGCCAGCCCTCATGACTGAGCAGCTCTGTCCTACCCCAGCGACCACCTCGATGTTCCTGCCTCACCACAGGCCTCAAAGCAATGGCACCAGTACCCACGGACAGGACCTCTGAGACCATGAGCTAAAAGAAAGGAAACCTTCGCTTCCTTTCTTTTTGTGTTTTTGGAACAGGGTCTCTCTCTGCAGTCCAGGCCGGCCTTGTACTCACGGTGAGGCCCACGCTGGCATCGAGGTTTCAGGGTTCCTGCTGCTTCAGCCTCCCAAGCGCTGGGATAAACGGGCTGTACCACCCCGGCTGGCTGGTTCCTTCTGTAAAAACCCAAGCCAGGTGCGGTGGCTCACGCCTGTCATCCCAGCACTCGGGAGGCTGAGGCGGGCGGACCGTTGCGAGTTCGAGACCAGCCTGGGCTACACAGTGAGCTCCAGGCCAGCTGGACGGCAAAGGGAGACCCTGTCTCAAAAAAATAAAAAAAACAGAAAAGAAAAGAAAAAGAAAAAACTCAGAAGGGAAGGAGAAGGGTCAGGCCTACCCGTCAGCTGCTCCAAGTTCCCCTTCCCGAAGATCAGCTTGCTGTTGGGCGTCTTGGTGGGCACCACCACGGTCTGCACCACTGTCCAGCCGTCCAGCGTGTGGACCAGCGCGGTCGCCTCTGCCACCTGCCACTCGGCTGCGTGAGCGGATGAGGCCGGGTCAGGGACGCCTCCCTTTGGGGCCGGCACAGGGCCCGGTCCGAGCTGCCCAGAACCATCCACCCCACAGCCTCCTCCTGGCCTCCTGGCGTCGGGCCCCCTAAGGCAGCCTGGGTTTATCCACGTGGACCCTAACTCTAACCCTAACCCTATACCTAGTATAAAACCGATGGGGACCCATGTGGGGACTTTGGATGGGCCTGCCTCCTGTGGGATCTGGGTGCGGTGGGGCGGCTGGACACTGAGGTACAATTAGTGAGAAGGCAGAGGGGTGAGGGTCTCGTGGGTTGAGATGTGGCCCCAAAGATGTGTTCACATCCTGATTCCTCCAGCCTCTCCAGGCTTCAAAATTGTTTTCAGAAGCAAGAGGCAGAAGCTTTCAGGCAGACATGAATGGATGGCAGATTTCTCCACGTGGTGGAACACTATACAGCCCTGAAAAGGAGCAAGGCTCTAACAGCCGCCACAACCTGGGTGAACCCTGAGAATACGGTGCTCAATGAGAGACACTACTGCTGCATTATCTGTACAGCTGGTAAATCCAGAGACAAGAGAGAAACTGGACAGGCCATTCCAAAGACCGGAAGTGGCTGGTGGCTGTTGGGTACCCGGACTGGGAATAGGGTCCAGGTCCCTGCTGGGCTGGGATTTTGTTCTGAGGGTGGGACATGCAGATGGAGGGTGCACTGCCTCTCCCCAGCCTCGAATCCAGGCCGCTGTGGGGGCCAGGACAGGCCTGGGGAAGGCCCTGGAGTTTCTGCGCGCCTCCCGCCTCAGCCCCTACCGACAACAGTGCACAACGTGTGCAACTGGACAGTGGCTCAGGTTTTCACTGCTCGCAGGCCCCGCCTTTCAGCCAGCCCCTCGTGGGAATCCCCACCCTTAACTTGTCTGCCCCAAGTCTTTTCACTGAGTCCCGCCCCTCCTGAGTTCCTGCCCAATAGTCTCCACCAGTTCTTTACCCCGCCCCTCCTCGGCCCTGACCAATGAGGAACCCGCTCATTGTATTGAGCCCCACCCGCTTTAACCCCGCCTCTCCTAGTCCCTGACCAATACGGTACAAGCCTAGTAACCGCCTCCGCAGAGCCCCGCCCTCTTTTGGTTCCGCCCCTCCCCAGCCTGAGTAAGAGAGTACCGGCTCATCAAGCTGCCTTCCCCAGGCATGACTAATGGAGTACCGCCCCACTGAGAGCACCTTCCCGAAGCTCCACCCTCATTGGCTCCGCCCGGCTGAATGCCCGCCCCTGGTTCCCTCCCATTGGTTCCTCCTCGAGCCCCGTCCCCGCCCTTCCCGCAGCACGGCGGATCACCTCGGGTTAGCTGCGGCTTTCCGGGTCCCCACTTGACCTCAGGGTGCACCAGGCACACGCGCTGCGTCCCGCCGGCAGCAACGGGTCGCTCCGCAGCAGCTCCTCTTCCTCCTCCTCCTCTTCTTCATGGTCCGCTTCTGCGCGGCTTCCCTGGGCAGGCGGCCTGCGACCATCTCGGCTCCCCAGCCTGTCCCGGTTGCCCGAGACCCCGTGGCCGGCGGCGGCGGCGGCAGCAGCGAGCGCGCGTGCGGGATAGAGCGGCCGGGGCTCCCAGAGAGCCGGGCGGCTGCGACCCAGGCGGGAGAGCCACAGCCGGGGACGGACGGCGGCCCGCAAGGCCCACATCCCGCGGCCCTGCAACGCGAAGGGGCGGGGCTCCGGGAGGGCGGGGCCACCCGCGGGCTTTGATTGGCGGGATGCGACACGTGTGCTGAGGGGCGGGGCCGCGGCTGTGGCCGCTCTGGGCTCGTCCGGCAGGCGGAGCCGCGGGAGGTTCTGCTGCTCCCGGCGCGCCCCGAGCCCGAGTGCCCGCCGCGGGGTCGCTGTCGGCCGGGCTTAGGGGCCTGGCGGGCCGCGGTGCACGTGTGGCCGGGCAGCGCGTCGGGATCCGATCTGGGTCCTGCCGTCTCCGCCGGGGGGAACCGGACCTGGGCCCGCGGTCCGCACCGGGGCGGAACCGGCCCGCGTTCTATCCGGCACCCGGCCTGCGTCCGCCGGGCCCCGCGGTGGGTAGCCCCCGGCCCGAGCCTCACGCCCTGCACCGGCGCGGCTGCGGCTCCCGAGCTCGGCACGCCGCACCGAGGCCGGCCCGGCTGGCGCCGGTGCCGCAGGAGGGCCTCCAGGGGGCAGCGCGGCACCCCTACCCTTCCTGGACCCCTCCGCCCCGGGAGGAGGCGCCCTCACTCAGGCCGTGCTCTGTGCGGGGCGCAGGGATGGACTGTGGCGTCTGCAGGGCGCCGAGGGGCACTTTCTCTGCAGTCCAGGCTGGCCGCGGGCTCACGCTCGCCCTGAACTCACAAGGGCGCGCCTGCCTCGGCCTCCGGAGCTGCCGGGACAGCCGCGCGCCGCCGTGCGGGGTCACACTTCCACGTCGGGGCGGGCGCTGCGCCGGAGCTCGGCCCCTCCTGCCTCAGCCTCCCGGTGAGGGAGGGCGCACACCCCGCCTCCCTGCCTGTGCGCCCGTCAGTGCTGGGCAGAGCTGGCCGGGGCGGACTGGAGGACACAGCCCCACGGTGCTGGACGCGGGTGCAGGGTGAGCGCAGGGCCACCTCCCTGCCCATCGCCAGGCCTGCCCCGTGTGCAGATGCCCGGCCAGCCCCACCCCTGCAGCCCGGCCCCTCGCCTCGGGCGTCCCCTGGTGCCCATCCCGCCTCTGCGGGCCAGCAGAGGTGGGCGCTGCGGGCCCAGCACGAGGATGGGGTCCCAGATGCCACGGACTCCCAGGCTGCTGTGTGGGCCCCTTGGCCTTGGTTGTGGGGACACGCGTCCTGGTGGAGGGTCCACCTGGGTCCAGGTGGGGTCCCAGTGTTGAGGGCAGCCCTGCCCCAGACGCGTCTCGGTGGCCCTGTCCCCACCTGTCCGTCCACCCCGCAGCACGGCCGCAGCTGAAAACCTCAAGTCTTTATTCCAAAGTACACAGGACGCATGCGGCCAGCACTGCCCACGCCGGGGCCCCACGGCCACGTCCAGGGCCCAGCGCTCGCCCATCCTTCTCGGGCCCAAGGGACCGGGGCGTCCTGCGGCCCAGCACCCCGCACTGGGGACACCAGGGGGCACACGGGGGCCCTCCTCCTGCGGGGCCGGCGCTGGAGCTGGTGACAGCCAGAACAGGCGGGCGGCTCACAGGGGCTCCAGGTCCTCGTCCCCGCACGCAAACTCGTACAGGTCCACGTCGCCCAGCAGGGACGGCGCCCCGCAGTCCGGCCTCTGCCCCCGGAGCGACGGCAGCTTCTGCTCCACGGGGCTCAGCGCCACCTCCAAGCTGCAAGGCGGGTGCCGTGAGCCGGGCGCCAGCAGAGGCTCAGGGGGTGAATTGGGGGGACAGGGCCCCCCCAGGAAGGGGCCAAGGCCTGACCGGCCGAGCTGGGGTGGGGCAGCGGGGAGCTGGGCCGTGTGCCCGGTCAGGGTGGCAGCTCGGTGCAGGACTCAGCTCTGCACGCACCGGCCACCAGGTTCAGAGAGCAGCCCGACTCAGCCTCCAGCGGGCAGAGATCAGGCCTCCCGGGGACCGGGTCACACCTGGGCCCGCCCGCGGTGCCCGGCCCCGGCACTGACCCGTCCTCCCAGGCCTCGCCCGCGGCCTCCTCGGCCACCAGGATGTCGTACTCCTCGGCGGCGAAGCGCTCCCAGTCGGACAGCTCGGGGCCGTCGGAGTCGCCGTCCTGCGGACACGGGGAGTCAGGGGACGTGGGAGTCAGGGAACTTGGGGAGTCAGGGGGGGAAGGCCGGGGTCAGGGGGCTGGGGCGCAGGGCGGGCCTCACCCGCAGCAGGGCCGCCTGCTCGCGCTGCTCGTGGTCCAGGTACTTCTCCACGTTGAAGAAGTGTCGAAGAAAACGTGCGCCATCTTGCAGTGCTTGAGGTCCCGCAGCGTCACCCGGCCTGGGGGCGGCACGGGGTGGGCGGGGTGAGGGGGGCACGGGGCAGGGGGGGTGAGGGGGGCACGGGGCGGGCGGGGCGAGGGGGGCACGGGGCGGGCGGGGCGAGAGTGCACGGGGTGGCGGGGCGAGGGGGCACGGGGAAGGAGGGGTGAGGGGGCGCGGGGCAGGGGGGCCGAGGGGGCGCGGGGAGGGGGGGCGAGGGGCGGGCGGGGCGAGGGGGCACGGGGCGGGCGGGGCGAGGGGGCACGGGGTGGGCGGGGCGAGGGGGCACGGGTGGGCGGGGTGGGGGCACGGGGAAGGAGGGGTGAGGGGTCACGGTGCGGGGGGGTGCGGGGGGGGTGAGGGGGCACGGGGCGGGCGGGGCGAGGGGGCACGGGGTGGGCGGGGCGAGGGGGCACGGGGTGGGCGGGGTGAGGGGTCACGGTGCGGGGGGGGTGAGGGGGCGCGGGCAGGGGGGCGAGGGGGCGCGGGGCAGGGGGGGCGAGGGGCGGGGGGCGGGGGGGCGAGGGGCGGGGGGGGCGAGGGGCGGGCGGGGCGGGGGGGCGAGGGGCGGGCGGGGCGAGGGGGGCACGGGGCGGGCGGGGCGAGGGGGCACGGGGTGGGGGGGGTGAGGGGGGCACGGGGTGGGGGGTCACGGTGCGGGGGGGGTAAGGGGGCGCGGGGCAGGGGGGCGAGGGGGCGGGGCAGGGGGGGCGAGGGGGCGCGGGGCAGGGGGGGCGAGGGGCGGGCGGGGTGAGGGGGGCACGGGATGGGCGGGGTTGGGGGGCCGGCCCAGGGGTTCGGGTGCGGGCGGGGTAATCGGGGCCGCCCGCACCTGGGCTGCTCGGCTTGACCAGGTCCAGCATCTGGCAGAGGCAGTCTCGGAAGGGCAGCGGCTCGATGCCCAGCGCGTCCAGCCGGCGGCTCTGCTCCTCGTAGAAGAACTCCAGCTCGAACATGGAGAGCACGCCGTCGCCGTCCAGGTCCATGCAGCGGAACCAGTACTCGATGCTGGGGGCGGGCGGGGGAGGCGGCTCAGCGCGGCTGGGGCACCCGGACCCGAGCTCAGGCCGGGTGGGCGGGCGGCAGGCGCACCTGGTGGGCGTCTTCTTGTCCTCCTCCGAGATGAGGAACCACACGAAGTCCGCGTAGCTCAGCCGGCCCTCGCGGGGCACCCTGCGGCCCCTGCGGGAAGGGGCGGGCTGGGGTTCCCGGCGCCCTGGGTGCTGCCCCCTGGCCGGGCCCTGCTCTGACAGGTGAGGGCGAGGGCGAGGGCGGGAGGGGACGGGGAAGGCGGCTCTTACCGCGTGACGGCTCCCGAGAAGATGCGCTCGATCATCCGGGACGACACGGCTGCAGGGCCGGCCGGGACCAGGACAGAGACGGGTGGAGCCAGCAAGTCACCGCCAGCACCCTGGTCCGCCCTGCGCCCGCCACCCACGCAGCTCTGGACGCACCCTCGAGGCACGGGCACCCCGCCGCCGCCCGCCCCCCCCGGGAGTCACCGTGGTCGTTGTGCCGGGCCAGGTCCTTGGCGTCGATGAACAGGTCGTGGTCCGTGTCCAGCTCCCAGAACTTGCAGTAGATGACGTAGAAGTGCTCGTAGGAGAAGAACTCGGGCAGCTGATTGATGTCCGGCTCCACCTCCAGCAGCACCACGTTCTGGGGACAGAGACGGGGACAGGGGACTCACCGGCAGGGTGGGAGGACATGGCCACCTCCTCCATCTCCTCCTCCATCTCCTCCCCCTCCATCTCCTCCTCTTCCTCCTCCTCCATCTCCTCCTCCTCCATCTCCTCCTCCTCCTCCATCTCGTCCTCCTCCTCCTCCATCTCCTCCTCCTCCTCCTCCTCCATCTCCTCCTCCTCCATCTCCTCCTCCATCTCCTCCCCCTCCATCTCCTCCTCTTCCTCCTCCTCCATCTCCTCCTCCTCCATCTCCTCCTCCTCCATCTCCTCCTCCTCCTCCTCCATCTCCTCCTCCTCCTCCTCCTCCATCTCCTCCTCCTCCTCCTCCTCCATCTCCTCCTCCTCCTCCTCCTCCATCTCCTCCTCCTCCTCCTCCTCCATCTCCTCCTCCTCCTCCTCCTCCTCCATTTCCTCCTCCTCCTCCTCCTCCTCCATCTCTTCCTGCATCTCCTCCTCCTCCCGCATCTCCTCACCTGTAAGAACGTGCTCCTCCGCAGCTCTGCGCACGTGATCCTGCCGGACCAGGACCTGTTGACGGTGTAGAAGATCCTCTGGATGACCTGCGGGATGGACCGGGTCAGCACAGGCGGGTGCAGCGTCCCGACATCCAACAGGGGCGTCCCAGGGCAGCAGGACAGCTGCGTGCGGCACGGTCAGCCTGTGGCCCTGGGCGGCTGCTGCTTCCGGCTGGCTGGCCCTGCACCGGCCAGGACTGTCCTGCCTCAGCCTCCTGACGAAGCTGTGCGGTCCGAGGCACCCTGAGGCCATGCGGCAGGGGCTGGGGCGGGTGAACCCCGTTCCGCACCACCACGGTTTTGGTCTTCATGCCCCCCACCTCCCTGGCTGGCACCGGGGCTGAGGGCTGAGCAGGGTCCAGGTGTAAGTGGAGGCCGCGGGGAGGGACACTCACCGTGGTGATGTACCGCGAGTGGAACTCGGACGCCTCCTTCAGGAAGGACAGCCCGGGGTGCGTGTTCACCACGTCCTGCGCAGGCGGGGCGGAGCAGAGTGGGCGTCCTCACGCATGTGCGCACTCACAGGCACGCACACAGTGCACAGACACGCGTACGTACGTGTGCACGCACACACCCGCGCCCCCGCCCCCGCCGCCCGCGCACCTGCAGGAAGGGCACGAAGTCCTCCTGCACCAGGCCGTCGCTGCCCGGGCGCTTGAGCAGCTGTACGAAGCGCGCCGCCTCGTCGTGGCAGGTCTGCAGCACCCTGGGCGGGGCGGGCGGTCGGACCAGGACCAGGACCAGGACGGAGCTGGGCGGGAGCAGGGCTGGGGCACCCCGGGTCTCCACCCCCGCCCCCTTCCACTCCCGACTCACTTCCTCCACATGGCCACGAACTTGTGCACGGACACCGCCCCGGTGCGCTCCCCGCCGGCGGCGCAGAAGAGCGGCCCCTTCCAGTAGAGTGGGCAGCCGCAGGCCTGGGCAGGGGGCACCCGGTCAGCGCCGCCACCACCGGGACCCAGAGCGCCCTCCTGCCTGCCCTCAGGGCGGGTGCTGGCGCACAGTACTCCCGAGGGGCCGGGGCTGCGGGATACATGAAGGGGCCTGGGAGCACCTGGGACCGCACGGGTGGTGTCTCTCACATGCACATGCACAGAGGACGGCGAGGAGACAGAGCAGCGGCGCTCAGACAACACACACACACACACGACAGGAGGCTGAAGCAGGAGGGTCTCCAGCTGGAGGCCAGCCTGGGCAGCGCAGCGAGACCCCGACCCCAAGTACACTTCAGAGGGGCGGGCATGGCCTGGGGTCGGGCGGGCGTTCGTCCAGACCCACCGATGCCTGGGCCAAGCCAGGTACACATGGGGAGGAAAGCACCAAGGGCAGGAGGGGGACAGAGGGCCTGCAGGTCAGGGACAGCCAGGTGCCCGGGTGCTGACCCTGCAGGCAGACAGGCAGCAGAGGACCCGGTGCCCAAGGCGCCCGACCCACCCGGCTCGGCCAGCCGAGCCCTCTGCAACCAGAGACAAGCGGACACCGCGTCCCCTTCAAGGGGAGCCACACCCAGGAGCCCGACAGCAATGTCAGCCACGCACCCAGGGGTGACAGGGGCTCCCAGGAGAGCACCATGTCACGGCCTTACACGGGCCGGCACAGTCCTTACAGAGAGCCGGCCTGTGACAGCAGAGGGAGGACATCATGTCTGTGGCCAGAGAGACACCTTACAGATGCCTGGTGTAGAGTTCCCACCCCGTCCACCAAAGGAGGACACAGCGGGAGGCACCAGCTGTGACTCAGGAAGCAGCCGCACCAGACACCGCTCTGCCACCTGAACCCTGGAGCTCAGCCTGCAGGACGGGCCCCGAGGGCTGCTGGGTGTCAGCGCCCACCCGGCTGTGGGATGGCACAGGGCGGCCCTGATGGACTGAGACAGGGAGAGACCAGCACAGGGGACCTCAGCCTGCAGGACGGGCCCCGAGGGCTGCTGGGTGTCAGCGCCCACCCGGCTGTGGGATGGCAAAGGGCGGCCTTGATGGACCGAGACAGGGAGAGACCAGCACAGGGACCTCAGCCTGCAGGACGGGCCCCGAGGGCTGCTGGGTGTCAGCACCCACCCGGCTGTGGGATGGCACAGGGCGGCCCTGATGGACTGAGACAGGGAGAGAGCAGCACAGGGACCTCAGCCTGCAGGACGGGCCCCGAGGGCTGCTGGGTGTCAGCGCCCACCCGGCTGTGGGATGGCACAGGGCGGCCCTGATGGACTGAGACAGGGAGAGACCAGCACAGGGACCTCAGCCTGCAGGACGGGCCCCGAGGGCTGCTGGGTGTCAGCACCCACCCGGCTGTGGGATGGCACAGGGCGGCCCTGATGGACTGAGACAGGGAGAGACCAGCACAGGGACCTCAGCCTGCAGGACGGGCCCCGAGGGCTGCTGGGTGTCAGCACCCACCCGGCTGTGGGATGGCACAGGGCGGCCCTGATGGACTGAGACAGGGAGAGACCAGCACAGGGACCTCAGCCTGCAGGACGGGCCCCGAGGGCTGCTGGGTGTCAGCACCCCACCCGGGCTGTGCATTGCATATGGCGGCCCTGATGGACTGAGACAGGGAGAGACCAGCACAGGGGACCTCAGCCTGCAGGACGGGCCCCGAGGGCTGCTGGGTGTCAGCACCCACCCGGGCTGTGCATTGCATATGGCGGCCCTGATGGACTGAGACAGGGAGAGAGCAGCACAGGGACCTCAGCCTGCAGGACGGGCCCCGAGGGCTGCTGGGTGTCAGCACCCACCCGGGCTGTGCATTGCATATGGCGGCCCTGATGGACTGAGACAGGGAGAGAGCAGCACAGGGACCTCAGCCTGCAGGACGGGCCCCGAGGGCTGCTGGGTGTCAGCACCCACCCGGCTGTGGGATGGCACAGGGCGGGCCTGATGGACCGAGACAGGGAGAGACCAGCACAGGGACACCAGCCCCAGGTCAGGCCTCTGGGCTGCTGTGCGAGGAGCTGTGCGCCCCTGTGTAGGCCCTGATGAAGATGGCCTGCACCTCCTGGTGCCTGAGAGCTGGGGGACCCTGGGCCGGCTGGGCCGCTGTTCGGGGAAGCGGATGCCCGAGGGACCAAGCTGCAGACGGTGCCTTGGTAGCTGAGAATCTCCCTGGGTGCAGGGAGGCCGAGGCAGGGCATCTGCAGGGTGAAACCAGCAGGCAAGTTAAGTATCCTGGACAGCCAGCGCCTGTCTGGATACTGAGGAGGACCGTGGGGGTGGCGCTGCCCCTGACCGAGGTCCCTGAACCGCAGGGCAGGCAGCAGGACGGTCAGCCCTGCACAGAAATCACAAGGTGGGACCCGGACGCTGGGCGGTGAGCAGGCCGGGGGCACACGGTGCCTTCCCGCGACCCACGACTGGGGGCCGAGCCGGAGGGTCACCGGTCAGAGCTTAACCCGAGCTCCTCGGGGATGGAGAGCCCCCGGCTGTGGACACAGACAGATCGGGGAGGTCCAGGACCTGGGGCCCAGGAGGACACAAGGACACTGGACACACCTGTCCTCAGGCTCGGAGGAGGGATGTGAAGGGCAGGGCAGGCTGCAGAGCCTGGGGGCAGAGCGCTGTGTGGCCCTGGGTGGACGGACAGGTGGGCAGACAGACAGGCAGCGGGAACTGCAGGCTTCTGCTGCCAGGCAGGGCGCTCGAGCTGTGCCCTTGAGCTCGCACTGTGCACGGCTGCCCACAGGCCGCCCGCCCACGGGGCCCACACGGCTGCCCACAGGCTGCCTCCCGAGCTCCTATGATGGCGCGGGGCCTGGCACGGCACTGCACTGCGGTCCTCAGCTCGTTTTCGGGATGGGTCATCCCTGTGCTCCCAGGCTGTGCTACCACTTGGGAGCTTCCCGCCTCAGCCTACAGGATGAAGAGGGCCTGCTTCCCTGAAGGCGACCTGCACCGCCCTGGGCACCGCAGAGTGCGTCCCCCTCAGCTCCGAGGACGTCTGAGCCGGCGCAGCTCAAGGCCAGGCCACGCTCACCGGGGAAGGGAGCCCCCCAGGTCTCTGAGACCCCCTTTCCCACTGGCAAACCTGGGGCAGACCCGAGTCCCTGCCGCGGCCCCGAGGACACACACATGCAGGAGGCCCTGGGTGCAGCCCCCCGAGGTCGGTGCCTGACCAGAGGCTCCCGGGGCTCCGCAGGCTGCGGCGGGAGGGTCGCCGGGGGTGCCAGGCCAGCCCGGGCAGGCAGCGAGAGCCGGTCTCTAAAACCAGAAACTGGGCTGGGTTAGCTCAGCGGTGTGAGCGGGGTCCTGAGTTCCACGCCCGGAACGGAGGAGACCAGGGCAATAAATAAAACCCAAAGGTACACACAACACGGGCCTCTGCAGGCGGCCGGAAGGACACACAGCCGCGGCTGGGCTGTGCGGGTCGCCCTCCCCACCGTGTGACCCCGCCGTGCTGGGGTCGGCCCTGGTCACCCTGGGGAGGCCCCCCTGCAGGCTCCCCGAGGCCAACCCTTCACCAAGGGTGGGTGTGGCACCAGGGAGCCGGACGTGGGTCCCGGCTGCCTGTGAGGCTGAGGCTGAGGCAGGAGGGTGCAGACGGGGACCAGGGCGGCCCGCGGCCCTGCCACACGCACCTTTGCCACCTGGCCCATGTCCGCGGCCGTGGCCCTCTCCTGCGGGAACTGCGCGAAGACGTGCTCGATCCGGGTGATGGCGGCGTCCACGCGGGTGGCGTCCTGGGGGCGGCCGCGCGGGAAGTAGAAGGCGGGGATGCTCTGGCTGGACGGCGGGGGCCGCGGCTCCTCCTTCGGGGTCTGCACCTGGCGAGGAGGGACAGCGGCGTCCACCCGGCTGAGCGCACCCCACCCTGCCCCGGCTCAGCCTCCGGTGCCGGGTGCGCCCCCCACGGCCACTCGCGTCCCGCCCGGCGGCCGGTGAGTGGGAGGGCGGATGGGGCGGGAGAGGAACCGATGGAACGAAGCCGGGCAGCCCTGGCCGGCGGGCTGCGGGGAGGACGGGCGCGACCGCGGTGCGCGGAGAAGCCGGCAGGGGGCGCGGCGGGCCGGCCGCCCGGATTCTCGGCTTAATCTCCGGACAGAAATAGCGAGCGAGCGGCGCATTCCTTCCCCACGCGCCCGGCCGGCGGGCAGGCGCGGCCTCCGAGGCGCGGCCTCCGCGGGAGCGGGGTCTCCGGGTGTCCGCTGCGGGCCGGGCGCCGTGAGGACGCACCCGGGGCAGGGCCGTCACCCCCAGGCCAGGGCACTGGGGCGCGATGGCCAGGTCCAGCGGCCTGCGCGGGCTCGGGAAGGCTGGTGGGGCCAGTGGGACGCGCGCCGGTGCTGCTGCCTGGGGAGGCCGAGGCGGGAGGACGCCAGGCTGAGGCAGGCTGGGCCACACGGCGAGACCCGCGTTCCGCACAGCACCCCGACCTGAGCCCGGCCAGGCGCCCTCCTGCCCCACGCACGGAGCCCCACAGCTGGCCGGGCCGCAGGGTGCCCCGCCGGGGCTCGCAGTGAGGCAGCAGGAGCCCCGGGCCATGCAGCCCAGCGCGTCCCCTGAACCCTACACCTGCGCACACAGGGCAGGAAGGGAGGCCCCGCGGGGAACCAGAGAGGCTCCCACGGGCGTGTGTGACGGAACCCCGCACCCTGGGCCGCAGGGTCCCCCAGCTTGGGGTCGCTGGGGGCCTCGGCTCAGGGGTCTCAAAGGCCTGGATGGCTGGGCTCGGCCGGGGCAGGCGTCTCCAAGAACGCGGCGTCCTTGCCGGCTAAGGGCTGAGGGGACCCCAACTACCAACACTGGGAAAGTGAGCACCCCCAACCGCCGGCCCTGGGCAGCGGGGACCCCTAGACACCGACAGCAGGAAAGCAGGGATTGCCAACCACCAACACTGGCCTGGGGGGATCCCTGACCACCAACAGTGGGCGCCGGAACCCCGTACACTCAACACTGTGCAGCAGGGACCCCCTAACTGCCAATGTCGGCCACAGGGGACCCCGAAGTACTGATACTGGCTCCTGTCACCCCACAAGGGTACCTGGAGGCAGAGGGGCCTTGGAAGGTGTGGGCAAAGGCAGCCATAAGGACCCTCTGCTTTGGAACAAGGGGCACCCCGGCGAGGTGGCACTCGCACGTCACCCCCGGACTGGGGAGGCCGAGGCAGGAGGGTCTCTCTCCGCACAGGTCACCCAGAGCAGCCTGCTGGGCAGTGTGTGGTCCGACCTGGACTCCCGCGTGTAGGGATGTCACAGGCACTGGAGACACCAAGCGATGGGCATTTGCGGGCCCCAGCGACCCCCACTCGGGGCTCCCGTCCCACCCCAGGACCCAGCGAGGGCAGGGGCAGCGGGCCGGGACCGTGCGGGCGGTGGCGGCGCCGCCTCCCTCCCAGAGCCGCACGCGGGGACCCGGGCACCGGCCCGCGTGGCGGGGAGCAGGCGGGCCGCGCGCACCGACCTGCTGGAAGGCCTTGAGCCGCTTCTTGAAGCGCGAGGGCAGCACGAAGTCGCAGCCGCGGGCCAGCGCGGCCAGCTCCTGCCGCAGGTCGGGGTCCTGGCGCAGCGAGGAGCGCTCCCGCAGCCGCATGGCCTCGGCCCGCAGGGGCCTCCGGGCGCCCCGGGCGCAGCGCTCGTGGGCCGGGGCCGGGGCCGGCGGGGTCACGGGGGACGCGCGGGCCGCAGAGCACGCGGGGCGCGGGCTGGCGGGGCGCTGTGGGCGGGGGCCGGGCTCAGCGCGCTCCATGCGGGCAGGGCCCGGCGAGGGGGGTCCCGGGCCCGGGCCGCGCGCGCTCCACAGGTGGGGGTGCGGGGCGCATGCTGGCGGCGGCCCGGCGGGCGCACGGTGCTCTCCGCGGTCCTCCGCTCTGCCCCGGTCCTCGGCCCCTGGCGGCCCTCCGGCCCCTGCGTCTCCGTCACCTCCTGCCCCGCGCTCTGCCAGGACGGCCGGCTCCGGGCAGCCGCGCCGCGCCGTCACGTGGGCACCGGGCCTGGGCGGGGTGGGGGCGGCGGGCCGGACACTCGCTCCGCCCCTCGCCCCTGGGAGGACGCGCGGCCGGCCGGGCGCACCGGTCCGTCCCGGGCTCCGGAAGGCGCTTCTGCCCGCTCCCCGCCCCGCACTCCAGCCCGCGCGGCAGGGCTGAAGCTGACGTCTCGCAGGGACCCGCCGCCCGAGCGCGCCCCGCACACCCCGGACCCGGACCCGGACCCGGACCCGGGGGGGCGCAGGCCGGGCCACCGTCCGCCCGGAGCTTCCTCCTGCCGGGTCATCGCTCAGCCGCCCCCGCGATGGCACGCGAGTCCCCAGCCGGCTGGCGCTCCCCGCGCAGGAGCGAGTTCCCCGTGCAGGGCTGCCCGGATGCACACACAGCTGCGCTGCGGTCCTGCCCAGTGGGAGGCCGAGGCAGGTGGATTCCAGCCCCCAGCCCCTGCCCCAGGCCTGAGCTCCCCCGGAATCCGCACCGCAGCTGCCGCCCGTCCTTCCCTGTCCCCTGTGCCACCTCCCTGGAGCCCTCACGTGCCCAGCAGGGGGCTTCTCTCTAGCTGGCACCCAGCACACCCCCAGCTTCGCCCCAGCCGCCCAAGCTGCTCCTCTCCCCACGCACGCATGGGGCTCACCTGCCCCTTCTGACCTTCCCGCTGGTCACTAAGCCGCTAAGCTGCCCGGGCTGGGCTCCAACGTGGGACCCTCCTGCCTCAGCCTCCCGGAGTGCTGGGATGACGGGGCTGGCCACTACATCGGGCTCCCGCTGCTGCTTTGCTGAGCGCACCCAGCACCCGCACCCCGCAGCTGTCAGCCCTGCAGCGGCACCTCCACTGGACAGCGGGGACTCGGAGGCCTCCCTGGGGGATCTCTGGGGCCACACGACAACCAGGCCTGGAACAAGCACTGTGTGTGGTCTCCCTCCCTCAGATGGTGGCTCTGAGACCCACTGGCCACCCGGGGGCACAGGACATGGGCCAGCCCAGCACAGCGCGGCTGCCAGGTCCCCACTGGCTGGGGCCAGGGCAGGACAGAGCAGCGGTCCGTGCCAGGCCCTGCCCCCCACCATCCCGTGCAGCCTCAGAGCCAGTTAGAGCGATCATAGCCTCTCAGTGTAAAAGGCCACCCCACGAAACTCCTACAAGACACACGGCGGACACCTGTGTGTCCTGTACAACTGAGACTGTGCTTAAATCCGGCTTCTGAGAGGGACCTTTAGGACTTCAGCGGCCACAGAAGTGTCCTCCAGAACTCAAGTGGCGTCTGGCACACCTCGATAAGGCAGAGATGCAGCCTTGCGGCGGGGAGCCCTCTGCCAGCAGCTCCCCAGTAGGGGACCAATGCTCCAGAAGTGCCCGGAACTCAACTCTTCACACTCGACAAAAGCCAGCCCCACCGACATGCAAATCCCACAGGCACAGAAATTCCACCGGATGCTAACAGTCCACACAGCGGTTCACCCGAAGGGGCTGAGATCAGGATTCCAGATACCCACACACCTGGGAGGAGGTGGGGGACAGAGGGACGGGAGGATGCAGGAAACAGAGAACCATGCGGCCTGCTCAGGTGGCCCTGCACAGCCGCACAGGTTCCCACGGGCCGGGCTGGGGGAAGCTGGCTCCGGGCACCGCACACCCCGCCTTCCTCAGGACACGGAGCCCCGGCCGGAGGACATCAGGACAGCCAGGACCAGGGACCGGGAGACACAGGGTCCCCTGCCTGCCTCCCCAGGGCACAGAGCACATCTCCTGGGCCCAGGTGCAGACCGGACCAGAGCCTGGAGGACCCGGGGATCCAGCCCGGCCTGCACTCCTGTGATTCGGAAGGACTCTGCCTCAAAGAAGAAAAAGCCCTGCTTCCAGCCACAGTACTGAAGAGGGACACACAGACAGACAGACAGATCGGTGAACTCACTGGATGAAACCAAAGGGTCCAGCGTGTAATCATATAAAGGCTCCACCCCAGCCCTTCAGTGCCTCTCACAGCAGGTTCTCGGGGCCGACAGACTTGTGGCCCTCCTGGTGGTCCGGTCACCAGCGAGTGAGCTGACACCCTCATGGCGTGGGGAACACCCAGGCTGGGCCCAGGACAGGACCGGAAGCACATCTGGCTTGGGAGAGCCTGGCACACCCCTCTGCACACAGGCACCCGGGGAAGCCTGACACTCTGGCTCAGTGCTGGGCTGGGCCAGGCCTCTCCCTCCTCCTCCTGGGCATGGCTCCTGGGCTCCCCTCTCTAAGGAGAAGGGCCCCTGATCCTAGAAGGGCACCCCCCCCACCACGTCCCAGGCCTCAGGAAGGGGTCAGGGGGACCTGGGCTGTGAGACCCTGGCCGATCCTTAGATGACACCTGCCCCATGCTGCTGGGCGGTGCGGGCTGTGGAAGCACAGAGCACAGGCTCAGGTGGACTAGGCCAGCCCTGCTTCCCTCATGGCCCACAGGCTCTCAGAATCTTGGGCCAGGTGACTGGCACTAAAGCCATCGGTCTGGTCCCCCTGGAGCTCTGTTACCACGCACGGATGAGGAGCTGTACGCAGCACTGCCTGCAGCTCAGCCTTTAGGGACATGGTGGTGCACACTTCTCTGCACCCCGGGAGGCTGAGGCAGGAAGCCCCCAACTTCCTGCCCAGCCTGGGCTGCTTAGCACACTGTCTCAAAATAAAATAAATAACAGGGCTGGGATGTCGCTCAGGGTGACAGGCCCGGGTTCAATCCCCAGGAGCCTGTCCTAAAAGGAGTAAGTAAACAGACATACACGTGTATACATAAAGGCCGTCGAGGGGTGCATCCACACACACTGGTCACCCCAGCCCTCCGAGAGGCTGAGGCAGGAGGGTGGCAAGTTTCAGCTTGGGCAACTTAGCGAGACCCTAGCCTCAAAATAACGAGCGTGCCAAGGCCCTGGCGACCCTCCTCAGTACCACAAAGCAAGTACAGAAACAGCAGCAGCAGCCCGCATCTCGACGGCAGAGAAATGCACCCGGGCGGGCCGACAAAGCCGAACACGGTCTCCAGACCCAGGACCCCCGGAACCTCCAAGTGTCAAGAGTAACGGCCCGAAGGGGTGGCGCAATCTGTCACCCCAGATACCGAAGCTGAGACGGGAGGACGCCGCGAGTTCGAAGCCAGCGTGGCTACACAGTGAGCTCCAGGCCAGCCTGAGCTGCACCGTGAGATCTTGTCTCAGAAAACCAAGCAACTGTCAAAGACGCAGCGCAGCATGCCAAATGCTTTCCCCAAAAGGGATGAGGAGGCAGCGCTCCGTCACCCCCGCAGAGGGACGGTGGCGCACCACTGGGGTCCATCCTCCACTTTGGGACGGACGTGGACTTACGACTTGGGGTCCTGGGGACCTGCGGGCGGCTGGCGGCGCGAGCGGCAGCGGGGGGGTCCCGGGCTGGACGGGGATCCGAGGCTGGGCTGGCGTCCGGGGTTGCGTTGGAGTACCGGGCGGAACCAGGGTCCGGGGCGGGACGGAGGTCTCGGGCGGAACCAGGGTCCGGGGCTGAGTCGGGGTCCGGCGCGCGGCTGGGGACGCGGGTAGGACGGGGGTCCGCGGCGGAACCGGGGTGCGGGGCTGGGCCGGGGTCTCGGGCGGGACGGACGCGTCCCCGGCGCCCAGCTCGGCGCGGCCCGACGCCTGGATGCGGCGCAGCCCGTCCTGCAGCATGCGCTGCGTGCCGGCCTCGCTGAGCCAGCACAGGAACAGCTCGTCCACCTTCATCTTCAGCACCGGCTGCAGCACCTTGCCGGGCGGCATGGCGGCGCGCGGCCCGGACCACCGCCCGGACCCTCCGCCCTGGGCGCCGCGGGGTCCCGGGCCGAGGCGGGGACGCGGGGGGCCCGGGGGAGGCGGCCCGGGCCGCGCGGCCGGCGCGGGGAGAGGAGAGGCACGGGCGGAGACACCCGGGCTCGCGGCCACGCCCGCGCCGCCCTGAGAGGAGAGGAGACGAGCGGCTTCAAAACGGGCGCGCCAGCCGCACTCCCAAACAAGGGCGCTCGCGTCCTGCGTCACCGCGCCGCGCGACGTCACCGCGCTCTGACGCCATCACCAGGCGACGACGCGGCCGTACGCGCGCCTCGCTGCTCTCCGAGCCCTCGCGGGGGCGGGGGGCGCAGCCTTGCATCTTGGGTGCGACTGAGGGGCTGGGATAAAGACCATGGGTGGGCGAGGGGGTCGTCCTGCCCGAAGTCATTGTGCCTCTGGGTGTTGTAGGAATTCGGCCTATGCGGGAGAGAAGGGCTAAACGCCGGGGAGATGTGAGAGCATGCGCACTGCGTGCTAATGGGGTAGGGTAAGCGTCTGAGTGAACATGCGCAGTATGAACCACTGAAGGCCAAACTGCAGACCCCAAACGTTGGAGCATGCGCAGTGCGTGCCTGCCGCCAGGGTGCGGGAGGAGGCGGGGGGGGCGGAAATAGTGAAGAGCGGACATGCGCAGAGCGAACCGGTAGGACGTGTTGCAGGAGGAGGAGGGCCTGCCGAGCATGCGCAATGCAAGCCTGCAGGGACCGGTCGCGCGGCCTAGTGGAGTACGATGGGAGGGAGGGCGACTGGAGTGATCATGCGCAGCGCGAGCGGGAGCGCCAGAGGACGGACGAGCATGCGCAGTGCGCGCCCCCCAGCACAGGAGCGAGCTTGCGCGCCGCGGGCTCTGGGAGCGCGCACCGGGCCAAGGGATGGAGTTTTGCGGTAAAACCGGGACTTCGGAAGCCAGCTATCCTGTTTGCGCCTGTCATTGTTAGCAGGCCATAAAGATAGATGGGAGGAGTGCATTTCCTTTGAACGCTGTCCTCTGATGGTGAAAACACAGTGCTCTGATAATTGCAGAAAAAATGAGCGGATAATTGCAGAAATCCTCTGCGAGGCGGGAGGTGCACGAAACCACCCGAGCAATGCGTGCTTCCCTTCATGTCTCGCTCTCTTACTAAGGTTTTTTTAATAAATTTTTTGGGAGGGGCCTCCAAAGTTGTCCAGGTCTGGGCTGGGCTGGAACCTGGGACCCTCCTGCCTCAGCCTCCCAGAGTGCTGGGCTGCCAGGCAGGCATGCCTACCGCAGTCAGCTGTGCAAACGTTTTTCCTGGCCTGGCCTCAGTCCGCAGCCGACACTGGGCCGCATTCAGCCACGCAGACGCGGATTGTGCCCTGTGGGTGTGGATGGCTTCAGACTGACTCTGGGTTTGCAGCTGAAAGCGGATCCCGCGTGTGGTGGGTGGGGAGCGGCCCGCCAGGAATCCCGGGCGCTATTTTTATGCATCGCGGGGCAAATGTTTGCAGGAGGCGGCCGGCGGCTGGCGGCTGGCCCTGCTGCATTCCTGCCCCGGACACAGCCTGTCTTTCAGGGCAGCTGGGTTTGAGCTCACGGTGGGTCCCGGTTTGGGGCAGGGACGGCTTTGAGCCCAGGCACAAGCCGGCTTTGTGCGGCCCGGCCAGTGCAGCACCAGGCCCGTGGGACAGAAATAGTCAGGCCAGGAACAGAGGTCGTCTTCAGCCGGGCGGCCTACCAGGCCTGCAGCACAGATCCGGGAGGTGGGGCGCGGTGAGGAGCCGGGGTGGGAGGTGCAGGAGGCGGGTAGGCCCTGGGCGGGGCTGGGGGCCTCGGGGCGCAGCGTGGGGCCGGGCACGCGACCCCCCACGTTCCTCAGGGCAGGTGGGGGTCAGCCTGGCTGTGCAGGGAGCCTGCGTGGCTCAGGCTCAGGCTCGGAGCTGGGGGAGGAGGGCTGCCGAGGCCTGGGGCTGGGCTCGTGGCCCAGGCCTGACCCTGCTCTGAAAGCTGGAGATTCGGCTGCAGATCAAAGGGGCATCCGGGCTGCAGCTGCCTCCGCCCCCTCCGCGGGTTTCCTCTTTAAGTTCAACCCGTTTCCCGTGGGCCAGGGCACCGGGGCCTGATCTCCCCAGCTGCTCTCTGACCTCTGGCTTTCCCTGTTTTTTTTTTTTGGTCAGGCTGATTTGCTGTCAGCGTTTGGGTTCCTTGTACTGCTATAAAACATCTTTTGGTTAAAAAAAAGCAAACAAACAAAAAAAAAAAGGTTGATATTCTGCAGGCGTGGGCATGGCTGGGCGTCTGTCTGTCTTATCTGTCTGTCTGTCTGTCCCAGGCCCCCCTCTGCACCAGGCCTGGCGGGAGGCGGTTGACAGCAGCCTGGGACCCACCCCGCGGCCTTTGAACGGTTTTTCTGTCCTCGTCAAAGATGTCAAGACCATTTTCCTGCTGTCTCCACTGGTCCCCGGGGTGGGTGGGGGCGGGCCCTGTCCTACCTCATCAGCCTGCTCAGGAAAACACCCGGCCGCTTAGAAAAGAAACAGAACACGACTTTATTTCCTTGGTAATTATTTTCATCAGCTTTGACACCAGGGAACAAAAGAAGGGGCCTGAAACACACTTGCAAATCGCTGGGAACCCTGCGTGGATACCACAGCCGGTGCGTTTGCTTTGCTGTATTTATCAGGTTTGATTGACCCGATTGATCTTTTGGGATACATTCTCAGGTGTTTTTTTCTTTCTCTTTCGTTTCTGTCTTTTGAGACAGGGCTTCACTCTGCAGCCAGGCTGGCCTTGGGTTCACTGTGCAGCCCAGGCTGCTCGCAAACTTGCAGAGATCCTCCCGCCTCAGCCTCCCAAGTGTGGCATGACAGGTGTGCGCCACATGCCCGGCTTGAAACTGAATTCTGGCTCATGCTCATCGCGCCCTGGCCAAAAGGAAGGAAGGAAGGAAGGAAGGAAGAAAAAAGACCAAAAAGGGGGGGGGGACAGGGCCTAATATACCTTCTCTGGCCCTGCCCCTATGACGTCACTTCCTCCCATAAGCCCCGCCTTTTAAAGGGCCCTCCGCCTCCTAACAGCGCTATGCTGGGCTCAAGCTCCCTGTGCACCCCCACACTGGCAAAGCTTTGGGATCCAAACCGCCTTTTGCTTCTGTACTCAGGCAGGTACCACAGCGCCCATCCTGTCCTCTTCTTAGAGGGACCCGGTCCCGTGGGGTCAGCCACCATGGAGACTCAGTTTACCTTCTCTGGCTCTTTAGACACCCCGTCTCTACACGCAGCTGTAGTAAGGCTGGGATCGGAGATGCAGTCTATGAACAGCCACTCGAGACTGAGGCAGGAGGATCCCAAGTGGGAATACAGACCAGGCCTCCTGCAACTCAGGATCTTCCTGGCCTGCTGGAGACTTTCCTGCCTCTGCCTCCATCTGCGGGAGCCCAGAGCTCCGGATGGGTCCGCTGGCTCCTCCCGCCCTGGCGGGGAAGGTTGTCGGTCGAAACTGCTGACTCCTGTGTGCCAGTCTAATTAGATTCCCTCAGGAGCTGAGCTGGTTTTGTGGCCTTGAACCCACAGGGAGCCTCCTGCCTCAGCCTCCCGAGCCCTGGCATTGTAGGCCTGCGTTTCCACATGTGACGCTTGACTGACTTCCTTAACTTTATTTTTTTATTATTTTTTTCCAAATCCATTTTATTTCAAGGAGGGAAAACAAAAAGGAGAAAATAAATTAAAACAAAATTTCAAAACACATCAACTAGGGGGCAACCATGGTCCATACATTGCACCTTGTCGTCCCCAGATCATTCACCCAGAGCCCGAGACATCTGACTCAGTCCTCCGAACAAGACCAGCACTGTGTTTTGCTATACATACACATATTTTGTTTCAGGTTCTCCCACTAAAGAGACAACACGATGTTTACTGTGTGTGTGATTTATTTCACTAATGATATGGTCTCAAGTTGCACCCATTTACCTATGAAAGTCTCCAGTTTATCCTTCTTTATGGCCGAGTAGTACTCCATTGTGTAGAAATACCACCTCTCTGTTATCCATTCCTCAGTCCTTTAGGTTGCTTCCAAGATCTGGCTATTACAAATTGTGCTGCTATAAACATGTGCAAACATATATCGCTGAGATATGATGTTTTTAAGTCTTTTGGGAAGACCTTCCCAATTTTAAACTCCCACACCCACAGTAATGGAAGGAAGGCCCCACTGCTCTGTGGAAACCGCCAATCCTAGCGCCATCTTGGGTGTGGCAGCAGCACCATGTTAGATGTGGCGCCATATTGGATGTGGCAGTGGCGCTGGGCCCTGACAGCCTACCTCCTCTTTCTGACCCAGCCCGGCCCAGCCTGGTGGCCAGAGGGACACTGACTAGCCCGGAGGTAGAGATTCACATGGCTAACCACCGGGAAAAGTTTTCAGATCGTGAAAACAGTGATTGGGAGGAACTCACAAAGTATAAAGAATTAAGAACAGAAAACTATCATCCGTGTTTATACCCTTGAGATAGGGTCTCACTATATTTTTTGGGAGTTTTTTTTGTCTCTTTTTTGTCATTATGCAGTTCAGGTTGGCCTTGAGCTCACTTTGTAGCCCAGGCTGGCCCTGAACTCGCAATGATCCTCCTGCCTCAGCCTCTTGTGTGCTGGGATGACAGGCGTGCACCACCACGCCCGGCCAGATGCAACTTCTCAAATAAATGTTTTCAATAAAAGAAATGCATGTTTTTGATCTTCCCCGGGTGGACTCTACAGCACCCTGGGTGCTGGTCCTGCCTCCTCCTCTCACCCCAGGGAGCAGCACAGTGAGCACGGCTGCTTTACCCTGACCTTTGTGACCAGGACTCAAGGTCACTGACCCTATACATGGTGCAGTGCTGTGGGATAGTATACAGCCATGAAAAGGGCAATGGTCTACTTGCTACGAGATGGGTTAGAGCCTGAGGACATGAATTTCAATGAAGGACCTGGACATGGAGACCCCACTGTGTGACGTGGGGATGTGGGTGACAGGGAACCAAGGGGGCCTCATGGGGATCCTGGAGTGAGCTAATGGGGAGACCGAGTCACCCCAGACTTTCAGCTCCTCCTGGAATCCAGGGGTCTTAATACTGCAGCAATGGTGTTATTTGGAACCTCCCAGGGGTGATGCTGCCGACCATCACATAAGGACCTGGCCTGCGGGTCTCCAATCCACATCTCTGTTCGGGGGAAGATCGGATGTCAGGGCTGGTCCCCAATGACCGGCTGAAGGTGATGTGATGGAAGAGGGTCGAATGGGGGCTCCCGAAGATGCCCCCAGATCCAGGATGGGGCCCCACTGGAACCAGAGTCCACCTAGAGGGAATTAGCACAGAATCTGGGGAAGAGACCCTCCTGCCTCAGCCTCCTCAATCCAAAGGCAGCGCCCTTATGAGACACAGAAGAGGGGACCAGGAGGGGAAGGGGATGAAGACAGAGGCGGGCGGGTCTCCCCTGCAGCCTGCGGAGGGAGCTGTCCCTGCCCCATCTCCAGGGACACGGGACTGCAGAGCTGTCCAGCTGCTCGACCCGGCCACCACCTGCCAATCACGCCTTCCCCATTGAGTGAGGCCAGTGGGGTGTGGCCGGGGGCTGCACGGGCCCCTTGCATGCTTTTAATTTTGAGCCAGGGCCTTGCTAAGTTGCCCAGGCTGGGCTCAGTGATGCAATCCTCCTGCCTCAGCCTCCCCGAGTGCTGGGATTACACGTGTGCTCTGCCCTCCTACAGAGCCGGGAGGGGTAGCGAACTTCCAAAGGGCTGGCAGTGGGTCCGGCCACCCCTATACCCCGCTGGCCACGGGAGGGCAGGACATGTCGTCCTCTACAGCCCTGCCCTGGAGATGCGGGGGGCGGAAATGACCCAGGACGCCTCTCGCCCCAAAGTTTCTGCAGTTTCTTGTCAAGCTGGTGTTTTGGAGACAGGGTCCCGCCGTGCAGCCCAGGTGGGCCTTGAACTATCAGGGATCCTCCTGCCTCAGCTTCGGGTGCTGGGCTGAGAGGCATGCACCATGGTGCCCTCTGAGCCAGGGTTGCATGGTGGGTGTCATGAGGGGCTGCTTTCTGGTCCAGTGTGCCCTGGCCAGTGTCCACGGGGGGTCGTAAATAAAGAGAGATCCATGCTGTCGGGGTGAAGTCAGGGCAGGTCTGTTACCCCAGCACTCCGGGACACTGAGGCAGGAGGATCTCAAGTTTGAGTGCAGCCTGGGCATTTCAGCCACTTAGCGAGAGAGACCTTGTCTCAAAATAGATGCTAAAAAGGGGCCGGGGACAGAGCTCAGGGTGGAGGCTCTGGGTTCCATCCTCAGTTTTGCAAGAAAAACCCAAACAAGGAAAACAAAAGGAAGTCTCCCCGTGCAGTCCAGGCCGGCCTTGAGCTCACTGTGCAGCCAGGCCGGCCTCGAACTTGCAAGGATCCTCCTGCCTCAGCCTCCTGAGTGCTGGGGTTACAGGCGTGAGCCACCACGCCTGGCTGGTTTTTTTCCTTTTTTCTTTTTGATGCTTTTTCTACCTCTTTGAGCCTGGCCCTTGTTCTATGGCTGCAGTGGGCGGTATTGATTGAGCTGGAGAGAAAGCACTTTATTGAGATATAATTCACCCGCGCGCGGACTCCGGCTGGCAGTGCTGATGCTCAGAGCTGAGCCAGCACCGCCCAAGATCGATTTGGAGCTTTCTCCTCCGCCGGGGAGGAAGGGAGGGGAGGGAAGGGGAGAAGGCCGGAGCACAGATTCCCTGGTTTCCTACTTTAGAAAACACCTTTCTGCCTGGGCATGATGGCGCACGCCTGCCAGCCCAGCCCTGGGGAGGCCGAGGCAGGAGGATCTCTCCAGAAAAAACCACAAAGCAACTTTGCTAGTTTTAGGAAATATTTTGCCATTTCAAAAATGCTTTTCTGGTTTAATAAATGTTTAAAGGTTTTTCTCTGGTTCTCTGGTCACAATAACACGCACAGGGCTTGAGCCCTGATCTCCGATGTTCTGTCGTCTGGGGTTGAAAATATTCGGTGTCTGCCACACACCGGACCCCAGACCCGTCCCATCCCGTGTAGAGGGGTTCAGATTCTGTCCCCCAAATTCTACTGCTTTAAAATGACTTGTGCAGCCCTTGAGAAGGAGCCCGGGGCTCCTCGCCTGAGCCTGCCCTGGCCTTTGGTAACTTTTCAGTTTGAGGAGGACACGGTCCCACTAAATCGTCCGGGCTGAGCTGGAGTTTGAGATCCTCCTGCTTCAGCCTCCAGAGTGCTGGGCTTGTAAGCACACACCTCAGCCCCGGCGTGCATTCACCCATTTATTTATTTACTGCTCTGTATTAAACATCACACCTGGGGCTTCACGCTGAGCTGCGTCTGGTGGCGTCTGGAGCAAACCACTCTTGCTGGTTTGCTGACTGACCTTACTTTATTTTGAGATGTGGTCTCACACGGTCACTAAGCCTGGGCTTAACCTCGGGCTCCTCCTGCCTCAGCCTCTCGGAGTGCTCGGCATCTCAGGGGTGCACCACCGAGGTGAACTCCCGCATTGCTTTTCCTGGTTGTGTAGTACCCCACGGCATGCACAAACTGTGTTCTGTGGCTGCATTTGTGTCTCCTGGACGGACACCTGGGCTGTTTCCTGCTTCAGCTGCTGGCTGGGGCTTGGCATCCAGGCCCCGCTCCCAGCTCCCTGGGGCTCACTTGGTCCACAGTGGGGCGGTGCAGGAGGCTCTCCCCAGGCTGTATGGTGTTCCTGGTTTTCACAGCTGCTGGGGCCATGGTGGCCGGCCCCTGTTGGGTGTATAGGAGGTCTTTAGGCTGGACAATGCAAGGTTGGGTCCCCGAGGGTCCCACAGTTTGAGCAGTTTAGTGCCAGGGTCAGGGGTGGTGGCAGCCCTTGCCATGTGGGCAGGGACTGGCTTTGGTCACTCTGGATCCTGCAGGGCCTCCGGCCACCCCCCACCCCGTTCCGGCCCAGGGATCAGCCACTGACCGGTCGGCGGGAAGGGTGGCCTTCAGGCCTCGGGGGACACAGAACAGCTGGCGGGCGGTGGGGACAGCTGTGTGGGGACAGCTGTGGATTCCGTTCTATCCTGGGCCTGGCCGGGGCCCAGCACGAATTCCTCAGCGCGGGCCGTGCGTCCCGGAAGGCGGTGGCTATGAATAGCGACGGGCCAGGGCAGGCCGGGCCGGGCACCCCCAACCCCGTCTCTGTGTCCGTTCCCGGCCTCCTGGGACCTCCTCGCTCCTCCAGATCACGGCGAGCTGGACTTTGAGGGTCCGGCCACGTGGACACTGGGGTTGGGGAGCTCTGGACGCAAAGGGGCTGCTGTGGCTCCGTCCTGAGATGCATCCCCTCCCCATGCCATGCAGACGCTGCCCTTCGGACCCCGGGACCCGACTCCTGGGGGATGGGGCGCTGGGGTTCACCCACGGGCCGATGTCCATGCCGTGTGTGTGGACTCGGGTCACGCCGACCTCTCCCGGGCAGCTGTCACCGGTGGTGTTGTTTGTGCCTCGGTTGCTGGGTGAGTGGAGTATACACAGGAGCAGGCAGCCGCCGGGCGTGACCGCGGGAGGCACAGCTGCCAGGGCGGCCACGGCCACCCGATGGGCAGGCGGTGCGGCTTCCAGACGGGGTTGGCTACGGTGCCCGGGCCAAGCGCAGATTCGGGGCTCGGGGATCTTCCTGCCTCAGCCTCCGGGGTAGCTGTGCATCGTGCCCAGCTTGTGTATTTTATTCTATTTTATTTATGTATTTTTGGAGACAGGGTCGCGCCCTGTAGCCCAGGCTGGCCTTGAACCCGTGGGGCTCCTCACAAAAATCTCGATGTGTGTGGGGGTGCGACGCCCCCAGGCTCTGATGCCGCAGAGGCGGGAAGCTCTCCGGCTCCTCCCCGCCCAGGCGCTGTCCCCCCTCTGTGCCCTAGGATGCCTGAACCCTGGAGCCCTCGGAGCCGCACCCTTGCTGGTTTGCTGAGTGACTTCTGGACATCCCCTCCTCTCCCAGGTCGGAACTCTGCACCTTAAGTGGATCACGGCCCGGCACTCGGGAGGCTGAGGCAGGAGGATCCCAAGTCCTGGCACAGCCCACTTGGTGGCCACAGAGTGCCCTCATGCAGGGCCACCCGC